TTTTTTTTAACTATCTTTATTGATTTCAGAGAGAGAGAGAGAGGTGGAAACATCAATGATGAGAGAGTCATCATTGATCACTGCCTCCTGCACGCCCCCACCTGGGGATCGCGCCCGCAACCTGGGCATGTGCCCTGACCAGGAATCTAACTGCCATCTCCTGGATCCTAGGTCGATGCTTAACCGCTGAGCCACACCCAGCCAGCCTTGTGTTGGCTTTTTGCTCAACATTATTTTTGTGAAATTCACCCATGTCGTTATGTATCACTGACTTTCATTGCTTTCTAGTATTCCACTGTATGATATACCACATATCGCAGGTACCCATTCTGCTGTCAGTGGGCATCTGGGTAGTTGCTAGTTGAGGCGATTACAAACACTGTTACTATGAGCATTCCCATCCATGTTTTTGGCAGACATGTACCCACACATTTCTGCTGGGCATATTCCTAGGAGTGGGATTGCTGGGTCATAGGGCAACATGTTCAGCTTCAGGAGATACTACTGCCAAATCGTTTTCCAAACTGGTTGTAACAGTGTTACTCCCAGCAGTCATGTAAGAGAGGTCATAGTATTTACCATCAACATAATGCTGATAACCATACCGGTCCGTGTTGGGGTTCATTCTGTTGTATGCTGAGGCCTTGCACCAAAAATTGTAGCTTTCTGGTTACTTTCCCCTCTTAGGAGGCCTTTAGCCCAGGACCGGATGCCACACTGTCACTACTCTGTCTCCCAGTCTCTTGGAGGCAGGCTGGCTTCTTTGTCTTATTTTCCACACTGTCATCTGCCAGGGCCTCATTAGCCGGGAGTGACAGCTTTTCCCCTGAGAGCCTTTAGCTCTTTAGAGCCGGCGAAGACCTCTGCACACGCATCTCTGTGCAAGGTGGTGGGTAACTCTTGATCTTTTCCAGGCCTCTCATCCACGGGAGCAGCTGCCTCTGGAAAACACATAAAAGCCCCTGCATGATTCAAGGCCCCAGCCTTCCCAGTTCCTGCAGGCTTAGGCTACCTCAGGCACCTCCTCCATGCCAGGCCCTAGTTGTGGGGAATTTAAGAGCCCATAGACTCCAAGCCGCCCTGGTGGTGTCACCTAAACAGACCTTTTGGTTATATCCATCCCCTAAGCAAGATTACACCTTGCCCTTGCCCCCAAGCTCATATTGAGCTCTGTTTCATAACACAGTCATGACCCAGTCCTCCCCGAATCCCTGCAGATGACCTGCCCAGAGTCCTGCCTGTAGCCTCCCACCCTCCCAAGAACTGGCTTCCTGTCCCGGGACCCCCTCCCTTCCAGGATTTCCCCTTCCTTCCAGGATTTCCCCTCCACATTGGTGCTCCTACCACTGGACATTGGGGCTTCCTCTTTCCTCTAGTTCCTGACAATCTCCCAGAGAGAGAAAATGCTCTCCTGTTGCAAGCTGCTCCCTGAGAAGTGCGGGTTTAATTATTCACACGGCCTGTGGCTCTCGCACAGAGTCTGCACCCTGGTACGTTGACACTGACCTACTTAGTACCTCCTAAGAAAGGTAGTAGTGGATTCACTGTAAGCATCAGGGTTTATAATGGAATAATAATCCCAAGGAGAAGCTCACACAAGTGATTAGCCTAGAAAAAAAAGAGATCAAGTTGCAGCTTTTGTTCTTGTTTGACAGATCCGTGGGGCCTTGAACTCTGCCCCCCCTAAGCTCTTGCGGGCTTGTCAGTTTGGCAGCAGCAGCCAGGGCTGGGAAAACAAGGCCGTTGAAAGCCTGGCTCTTCTGAAAGCATCTGGGTCTCCATTGTACTGGCCTAAAGGAGTTTCTCTAGCACTTTAACAAACACTTCGCCTGCCTTTGCCTCTGTCAGAGGCTGTGACAAGCGCTGCCTGGCTCGCTAGCTCCCCTGGCTCTGCGTCTCAGGCTCACAGCTGGTCACCTGATCCCCCTCCCACACACCGCTCCCTCCCAACCTTTAGACCCTGCCCTCCCCAAGGCCTGTTCCTGGGTCTCCAGAGGTGCCAGGACCACCTGCTTGTTAATAGTGCAGACTCCACTGAAGACAGAGGTTACCTCCTGTGGGGGGGTAAGGGAATGAGGGGAGGGGAGAGGACCGGTAACACCAACTAGGTTAATAAAGGTCTAGGGTTCCAGGTAGCCCATGGGGTCTTTTATTATTATTATGCTTGACTTATAAGTGATCTTTATTCTTCATTGTATATCTAATATTACATAATAAAGAAAGTTAATGCACCCCAC